TTATGGAAAGTATGAGAGGTTGTCCTATCTCGAAGGTATGCGGACCACCTTCGATTCTCATCGTTTATCTTTGTGCGTTTGTACGACAGCACATTATTTGCTCATGTTGATGGCGAGCGACCACCTGACAAAGCCCCATATCTAAAAATGGTTTAGCACGATATAATAAATGTTTATCGGCTTTGCAAGACCTGATTGGTCGTGTTTCTTGGAAGAATCGTTACCTAGTTGGGCAACGCAAAACAACAGCGAAACAAACAACTTTTCGATGTTTTTTATAAAAATAAAATGGTGGATTCCAGTTTGAACTCTCTTTCATAATGGGGTTTCCCCACCGGTTATTCTTGCACACCACGCAGCGTCCATTCTACACGACTGATGGTCCAAGGTGTGCTATTTTGCATTTCCGATAAAACCACCAACGTGCATTGAAATGGCTAGAGTCGATTTTGCATCGTTTTAAAAGTACTTTCCATTCGAATCGATAAAAAGTGAACGGTGTTATGCAGCCCAAGGTGACTGGCCGGTGGAATTTCGATAACTGGTAAAAGGAAAAGGTGTAACGAAGCTGAGTGGTCCTTCAGATCGACATCAAGAAGACAAACCGAAACAAACGTTTGTTAAAATCCCGGCCATTCCTTCTATGGAAAAACCAACACAAACGAATCTTCTGCTGCTCCTTCTTCAGCAGCCCCAGGGTCTACAATCAACGGGCACCTTCAAAGTCATATGAGAACATCCGAACCCATATTCAATGCTGAAAGCAGCTCATTCACATGGAATTAGCAACAACAAACCTCCTTTCAGTGCATGCGATAGGCGAACGAACGAATCGAAGGGAAAACGACCTTGCAGCCTGGCATTTCGCTTTGTAAAAACAATTCGAACCACTGGTTCTACCAGCCAACGAGATTCCACAAGGAAAATGTGAAACGGTGGATTGCGACACCAATTTTATACATCTCTAAAAGGGGATATTAGGGACGGGATGAGCCTCTGTCGAACACCCACGAAGGTTTTTTCGGCAGATGAAGGTGATGTTTCCAAAGCCGCTGTCACGCAGGTCTCCAGTTCCACTTGCTCCTTCCTTTAAGAGAGAATGTCGGTTTAAGGCAGAAATGAACGGGCTCATCAGCCTTTGATGGACGATTATAAAGGACTGTTCCGACGTCCAAGACTTTAGGCAGGAAATAAACGCTTAAATGCTTCTGCAGAGTAGAACAGAACCCAAACATTACTGAGCCCTTTGCGAGAGCTAAAAACTTTGGACTCTTTAGGTTAGATGCCGATGGAAACAGTCAGACGGACAAGGCGCTTTGAACAACACACATCACGTCTAGCTGCTTTGAACCATAAAACTACGTGCATAATCATGAGGAACAGTTAAAAAGAGTTTGTTTGAGGCATCCTGGCACAAAACACCACTTATTTTGTGATCCATACATGTCTCTATTTTCCATTATGCAAGATAATAATAATAATCAATAAAATAATG